TAAAACTACCCAGTTGGGCAAAAATGGCTGTTGGGTAAATGGCAAGCCATAGTTTACTTCAGCTTCCACCAGAGAGTTCCGGGAAACATGTGCTAGCTTGTTTTCCCAAACAAGCATACACATAAATAACTGTTTCCATTGCCTGTTATGAGACGTGGCCATTTCTTTGGGCTATAGATTTATTTGCAAATGTCCTAGCTTGGGAAGGAAGGAAGGAAGGAAGGGAAACACATAAACATACAATGAAATAAATTGAGCATTGTGAATGGAAACAGAAAATATAAGCTGGTTGATTAAAGCCTTGTCTGTCAGATAAAGCAGACTCAGCAACAGCAGCTTCGCTCGTTCCAGAATTTCATATCTGCCATGGAGGCTGATGACTCAGTTTTTAATGGGGTTGGTGAAGTCTAGGGGGTTGGGTCGCCCTAGGACTCAGGTACTCAGGGTTCAAATCCCTCCTTGGTTACAAAACTCCATGGGTGATGTTGGGCCAAGGTCAGTCTCTCATAAAAGCCTACACTGCAGGGCTGTTGTGAGGAGAAAGAAAGGAGAAGAACCATGTATGCCACCTTGATGAGCTCATTGGAGGGAAAACAGGATGGTAATGTGAGGACTTAGTGAAAGAAACACAACCTTATAGGAGCTGTCCAGGAAGATGAACTATAATCACCCAAAGGCTTTTGCACCAAGAATGGATGCTTTAAAGTTTAAGCAAAAACCTGGAATGGATTCACCCACCAACTGGAATTGGAGCCAACCCCCTTAACTGTATAGCAGTCACCTACCACTGATAAAGATCAGGGGGCAAAAAGTTTAGATGAACCCATCCTTGTTGTTTCAGTGAAAGGAAGCAGATCCCAAGGCCAGAAAATTGTAGGGCTGGTGGGACTGACACCAGATCAATGAGTAGACAGCAGTGGTAAGGTGAGGAAAAGTTCCCAGGTGGTTTGGGTGAAGGAAACGTTTGATAAAAGAGGGAAACACACAACTATTTCCCCCCTTATGTTCCCCTCTTTCATTTAAATGAATCTTTTGGGATTCAGTGCTCACATTTGTGATCGAAACCCATTCTGGTTTTTATAAAATAATCCAGAAGTGAACCTAGGAAGGCAAAGCAAACTGTGCCGTGTACAGATCATCCCCACAGTGCTTAAAGCAGAACATAAGAAAGTCTTTTAAGGTTGCATTTCATTTTATTTCCTTTTACTTTTAAACACAATTCTCATTCCTTATGGTGCCACTGAATACTCAGGCAGCTAGTTACAAAAACATGCTCCCTGCTGAGGAACACTGAAAATACCACTATTAATGTATGCTTCACCTTGCATCCATAATTAAGATATTTCTCTCTCCACTTCCCTTACTTTCTCTCTCTGCCTCCTCCTCCTCCCATCAATATTGTCAATGAATACCTTTCAGGTCTTTTATGCAGCACTTAGAGTCATGATATGTTGTCTGAGCCCAGACGTACACATATTTATAGCAATATGGTGCAATTGCCACTACAAGACCATCATTCACAGAACATCTCAAAAGGATGAGATGGTGTGCATTTGTCCACCAAGATCTTCAGCTGAATTTTCCCACCTGTTCATGAGTGAAAATATGTTTAAAATCAACCGGCCATGCCCTGGTTGACCCTTCTGGCTCAGCTTCCTGTTTCTGCCTCCTTGGTGTTTCCGTGGGGAGTTCTTCGTGGCTCCGTCTTCATTTCCCTCCTTAGAGCACCGGGACTCAGCAAACCACATCTGGCGGTTTGCTTCTGTCTCTGAAGAAGTGATTCTGGATCAAACACCCTCCAAGGAGTTCCTGTATGCCTTGCAGGCAGTGTCTTCGCTCCAGGACCAGCGCCCTCACAATTGGGATCGAATGCTCCTGAATCTCTATGATCTCCCCCCCTACCACAGGATAGACGAGTTGCTCATGCCATCAGGCTGATCAGTATTGCTTGAGATCAAGATCCCGTTCCAGAGCTAAATCCTACTGGGGCCTATCCATCTTCTCATTCCCATCGCCCGCCTTGGTTGCCGTGAAGATCCTGATGATCCAGGCGCCATCATCAGCAGTACTGTTCTGCATCTTCTCGTATCAGGAGTGGGACTCATGCTGGTACCAATACCCATCCTGATCTTCCAGACGCTCCCACCCATCTCCTTCAGTGTGTTCCCTGCAGACTGATGCTCCCTGTCAAGGTGTCTTAGCAACGGTGCTGCTGGCCTAGCAGATCTTGATGCCCAGCTTGCCCTCTGCACCACCCCCTCAGCTCAACCACAGGCTTGGCCCACATCCACCTTGCTAGTCTCAACATCTGGTTCTTCCAGTGATGTTGACGACGCTTCCATCATTCTGGGCCCTGGTGGTACTCTCGGTCCTGACTTTGTCTTTTGGATGTCTTGCGGTGACCAGCGGGCTAAGCTGTTTTCCGTTCCAGCTGAGCGCTGTAAGTTGCGTCATAAACTCTGTCCTTGTAAGCCAACCTGAAGCTAACTTTGGATTCAGAAAATTCCTGTTAGGTGCATGGCTGGGGCACACATGGTAGACATCCTGCTTCCTTTCCTGAAGCCATTCCAGGAGGATGTAGAACCTCTACAGCACTGGTTCTTAACCTTGGGTTACTCAGGAGTATTGGACTGCAACTCCCAGAAGCCTTCACCACCAACTGTGCTGGCTGGGGTTTCTGGGAGTTGCAGTTCAAAAACATCCGAGTAACAAAGGTTAAGAACCACTGCTCTACAGGATCCAGGAGGAGGCGGAGGAGGTGGAGGGGGGGGGGCTTCCCTTCTGCTTCAGCACCGAAAGCCAAATTCCATTGCTTTTCAGGCCTCTCAGTTCGAGGGTCATCAGAAGCAGCGTTCTTCTCTGTGGACAAGGAGAGTAGAAAGCTCGGCCTCTTGCGATGGACCCTGTACTCTTCTGCCTCCCTCATGGGGCAGATAAGCCACGACCAGTCTGCGATGGCTATGTATCAGCAGGTTCTTTTGGGGGGAAATGGAGGGATTTATCCCTCACCTTCTAGAGGACCAGCCATGGGGCAGATAAGCCATGACCAGTCCCTTTTGGGGGAAATGGATGGATTTATCCCTCACCTTCTAGAGGACCAGTAGGCTGTTGTGCTTGCCTTCTGCGCAGAAGCAAAACAAAAACACATGCCGGGTGTCACGTTGGACGTGCGTGTCCACCACCCGCAGGTCAGTGCAGACGTTAACTTCGGAATGAAAGCGGGTAGGGCAACCCTCATAGTCCACCCTCCGCTTGCAGGCCCAGGAGGCTGGCACAGAGGGTCTCTGTGCCGTGTTACTCACTGTTTGCACAGATGGAGGAACAGGCAGAAGTTGTATCTTCCAAGCCATGAGAGACGGAGGTCCCAGCAGGGTTGAGACCCCCATGCCTTTTCTTCTCCTGTTCCTAATTAATGCAGTTAGGAACCAACGGAACAACAGCTTACTTTCCTCCACAGTAGGAGTTTTTAAACTGCTATTTCAACTCACTGTTGTCAGTTTTCTCCTGGCTATTTGTCATTTCCGGACCCTGTTGTTAAAAGTTACCTAAAGAACCTAGTAGTTCCATTGCCCTGTTCTACTCCTTCGTGGGCTCCATCTCTGCTAATGAAGAGACCGTTCGGGCTGTTGGCCTTCTGTGATGTACAGCTTGTGACCCGGAAGATGCCTTCCTGTTTCCCACTACCTCTGCTCAGAGGGACCGCAAGAGTTGTACGCCCTACAGTTACATCACATTGACGAAAAGTGGTCCTGCCTCCTGATACATCCTCCTCTCCTTGCTACGGCCACATCCTTGTTCCAGCTTAACCAGGATTTGTTGCTTCCTGCCTTTTCCCGTATCTCCTGTCTCCTTGCAGAGAAAGCCCTCAATCTTGGGCGCAAGAAGAACCATCTTCTTCTGCACTTCTAGGACCTCTCCAGCTTCCGTCAGACCCCATGCGACGCAGGACATCAGACGGGACAACCAGGGTTCTGCCCCAAGACATCTATAGTTATGTATTGGGTTGCTCTGTCCTACCAGATGACTCGGGGACCCCTTTCTGGATGGAGCAGAGGGACACTCAACCAGGGCCACCTCCTCGTCAGCTGCCGCCATGAGAGGAGGCCCCTTACCGGGACATTTGCAGATCAGCTACCTGGTCCACAGCTGCCCTAATTTGTCCAGCACTACCAGCTGGATGTCTGTGCCAGGGCAGAGTTGTCCTTGGCCATGAAGACTTCTCTCTTCTCCTGGTGTGATGCTCCCAGTCTCCCACAGATGCCATTCACAGCGACCACAAGGAAGAGGAATGGGTGGTAACTGGACCGATTGGGGCTCTTTTGAGTCTGCTTCTGTTGGATTCACACAACCCACCCGCCTCCCTTCTCAAGTGTCACTAACCGCCCCTTTCTGGCCTGGAACTGAGGGATTTCTCTTATGTGTGGTTCAGAGGGGTTTTTTTTGGGAGAGAGTTCCCCCCCCCCAAACCACTCAGCTCTTGAAGGTTCTGGAATATTGCTCTGTGCAGGTAAATAGAGGCCCCATAGGTATGAATACACAGAAGACCGCTCAAAGAACCACAGTTACAAGTGTGGACCCCTTTGTTCTTACGAACACAGAAGAGTGAAATCTGTAGAAGTTCCACATAGGAGATGGCACTATTAATAGGCTCTAAGCTGCACAAATAGTTCTCCTTTTGCTCTGCTCCTGGCAAAGAAAGGAGGCGACCTCTTACTTTTTTTAGCCGGCCTGCTTAAAACAGAATAGCCAGTCACCCGAGCTCTTTTAAGGGACCTGCTGTTGTCCTTTTCTTTCACAGAAAGGCTGTCGTGCTGTTCGCAAGTGGATTTTGAAACTGTTCAGTTTTGGCAGTGCTCGTGCCCAGAATCAGTTGGCAAGTGCTTTGTATCCTTGTGGCACAGACCTTTAATCCATTTGTACCGCAGCCCCTTCTGTTAAATCCACCCCCGTTTATGTAAATACAGTATAGGCAACCTTTCACCATGCACCGATTCCTTTGGAGAGAAATGTGGAATGGTGACAGTCTTAGCTATGTAGATAGGCGGTGGTGTTGTGATTGTAAAAAAACCCCTTCTTTGCTGACTGTGCTTCTTCTCAAAAGGATAATCGAAGATATATTTTTCTGTCCTGTCCATTGATGAGATCTGTGGCCATCGTTTTATTCCCTGCGTCTTTAAAATTACAGGAGATGGTACTGTATTTTCAGGATGGCACACAAAAATTTCCTATGTAACTTGAAAGCTTGCGCAATTTTGACCGATGGCTTTAGCTTTGAATCTTTGGGGAGGCCAGTTAAAGGTGATCCTTTGATCTCTCTTTACATTAAAGAGAGGGAGGCTGTGGCTGCCGTTTGATGTAGTAGGGGGTTCGGGTTTTTTTTAATGTCAGAAACGCCTGCACAGTCTTTCACAGCCCTTAACCTCGCTGTATGGTTCTGTTGTAGACGAAGATCGAGTCGGAACGGATCATAGGGTCGGTGGGTAAGAAAGCACCGCAAGAAACGGGTATTAAAGTGAAAAACCACTCCAGTGGCCTGTCCTTGATCCAGAGCAGGGATTTCAAACAGCTCCTCCAAGGCATCTCGGGGGAATCTCCGCTGAGGCTGCCAGAAATGAATGTGAAGGAATTTCCTGGGTTCCACATAGGACTCTTGAACAAGGTAGGTTGGAATCGGGTGCCATGACAAATCCAAGCCTCTACCGTTCACCGCAGTGTCTGGCGGTTTGTTGGTGGCCGGAAGGGGATGAGCTGACCCAAGTTTTCCGTTCTTTGCCAACACTCAGGACCTGAAGCCACAGGTGTACCGAAATGCATACGATATTCCTCGCCACAGCCTCCTGGACCAGCTAACCCGGATGAGGACCAATTTGCTGAAAACACACAAAGTTATTCTAGGCCAGGACGAAGGTGAGCATTGCTATAGGCAGCGAAATAGGGTTCTGGCCTTGGGGGGAGCCCCAGGAACTGGATAAATGCTTTAACCCGAGTCCTGGCATCGGTCCATCTCTGCTGGGTTGATTTTTTGAGGGGGTGGGGGCTGGCTTCCTGGATCTCTTCATTTAACAATCACTTGAGCTTTTGGGAATCTTAAGACGTGTTGGAGCGGGAGAAGATAACTCCCAGGGCAGTCGTTTTTCTTCCATAGCTCTTGCCCAGCCTGAGAGAGGGTTGTTTGAGGGCTGCTAAACTAAAAAGAATGTATTGGGATAATGATGGACATACCCCGGCCATGAAGGATCTGATCTGCCTGTTCAGTCAGGGCAAGATGTGCAGTCCATCAGTCAGTGTCTGTTTTTAATAGCTCTGGGAAGGGATCCTTTCAGAAGCCTTCCCGGTTTTAAATTGGGCTGTCTGCCTTTTAACTTCAGTTATTGTAACATTGGAGCCAGATAGGAAGATTCCCTAGATTAATGATCCAAGGATCTGTAATCTGGCTGTACGAATACTGTGCTTGGAAGATTCCCAGGAATCAGCAGAAACATGACGCGGCATCGTGGGAACTTCTACTTGAAGATTACCTGCTGTGTTTTGCCAAAAATATGTAGGATCATATGGTGTGAATTAACTAGGTTTTCCTCAATGGAAAGGAATGTTCTTTATAGTGTTATAGTATTAGTGCTTTATAGTATTGTTTTTGAAGTTGCTCTACAAGGGGGGGATATCTTGCCATTGTCGCTTTAGTGTTTGAGTTTTGTTGCTACCTGCTTCTTTGCTTCTGTACACACCTGCTCAAACTAAGGCTTTGAGCATTGTTCTGCTGAATAAAAACCAGCAGAACAGGGATCTGGTGCCGGGGTCTCTCACCACCCCCAAAAGTAACTGTGCATAGGCTTGAAAGCATTTCTCGGGTGATTTGACATATTTAGAGGTTACCCAGCTTGGAGAAAGGTGCAGTGTGGCTGCTTTTTCTTACTTAACTTGTTTTTCAACAGGGGATTGCTTGATGCAGTAGTTAACAGGTTTGGATAGGCTGGCTATTCTGCACTTGATGGTGGAAATGACATGCTGAGGCATTCAGCTTTTTTCTGTAGGAGACTCAGTCCTGACGGGACTGACCAGGGGCTTTGGAGGGCTTTCGGGAAGCACTGAATCTTCTCTAAATGGAGTACAAGATTCTTCTTTTCCTCCTTGTTGCAGATTGTCTTCACAGCGTTCCGGTGGCTCAGATGGGGAACTACCAGGAATATCTAAAGATGATGCCTTCTCCACTCCGGGAAATTGATCCAGACCAACCCAAAAGGCTCCATACCTTTGGTAACCCTTTCAAGCAGGACAAGAAGGTAAAGCGAACGACAAAAGCTCCTGACTCCCCCTTCTTTGGAGGGTTCCCTGAAACAAGTTGAAGTCAGTCCCCCTTCCGCACACCGCTGACTGTTCTCTGATGGTTTTTTTTCCCTCCTCCCTTCCACCCCCAGGGAATGATGATAGACGAAGCGGATGAGTTTGTCTCGGGTCCTCAGAACAAAATCAAGCGTCCGGGAGAACCCAACACCCCTGCCTCCCTGAAAAGAAGACGGAGCATGTCCCCCCTGCTCAGACGGCCCCAATCCCCGCCGGTGATAGCCAATCACGTCGGTGGGAAGGGGCCCCCGCCCCCTGCCGGCTCCCCGTCCAACCCCAGTCTCAAAACCGCACCAGCAGCTTACAGAGGTATTTGGAGTGACAGCCTCTTGAGTCTCCGTTCTGATTCTTTCATCCAGCGGCCCTTTCTTTGCTGGATTTCATACCAATGACTGCAAATAGACGGTTGCAGATCTGTGTGTAGAGGCGGCAGGGAAGTGCAGCCAGTCACATATTTGCAGGAAGCATGCTTTTTGCGGCAAGGTGGGTGCGGGTGTGTGTGTGTCACATGTACATACCAGAGATAAGCTGTATGGCACAAATCAGTTTTTGAGAATTTTGGCAGAATCACAGGTTATTAAAGAGGGAAGAATGTGTAGCGTTTATATGGGAGAGGGCCGGTATTTCTGTTTTTTGCTGTTGGCTGATGTCTGCCTAAGAAGTGTGGGCAGAATTCTGCTTAAAAACGGCAGTGCTTTTCCCGGGGCAGCCACACATTCCTGTTTTTGTTTTGTTTGAGGCTCCCGTTTTTCTTCTGCTCTCAATCTAGAGAATACCAGGCTTGACGTGTGTATGTCTGCTGCTTTTTAAAAGGAAGCCTTGTTTGTTTTTCCTCTTGCAGATACAAATAGCAATATGGTCCAGGAAGGCAACAGCGAAAAGAAGGGTGACAACCTCCAGTCCTTGGACAGGCAGAGCGATGGGCCACTCGGGGGGCATCCGGTCCCCATGTCCCCAGCAGCCGGGATGGACAGCGACTTGCCTGATGACATGGACGCTTTGTCCAGCGACGAACTGAATTGCGTCGGGGAAGATGGACTGGACCACAGGCCTGTCGCCAATTCCCTCATTCGGGGACCCGTAAACTATAGCATCTCCGAAGACCAGAAGCAGCTAATGGCTGAGCCGGGATCTGGAGCCGTGCCGGATGCCGTGAAAATTACGCCCAGCATGTTTGAAGGGAACAACGAAGTCATCAAAATCAAAGTTATGAAGGAAGTCCGCAAGCCTGGGAGAAGTAAGTGGGGAGAGACGACGGCCGTCTTAAAGGCGGCAAAGGTCAGGGAGGAAACGAAGTCTTCCACCGTTAAGAGAAACTCAGTGTTCCCATGGCAGCTATCAGGCGCTTGGCCTTAAACTCATTTGCCTAGAGGCCAAATTTAAAAAAAACATTTTGGCAGTCTTAACAAGTCTCTTTTGTAACTTGGTTGTCCCTTTTTTTGGAATTGGCAGAAGTTGATCTGTTAATTTTAGGGAACATCTATAGATAGATGAGCTGTGTGGTGGATGATCGTCATCATCACCACCACCACCTTGGAACTGCAGGGCTGGAAGGGGCCCTACAGATGTATCAAGTCCAGTCCCTGTCCCAAGGGAACAAAGTAGGGAATTGAACCCCACAACCTCTGGCTCTGTAGCCAGATGCTTAAACCCCGGAGCTTTTAGCCGCCGGTGAAGTGAAGTCAGGGGAGTAAAAAACCACCGCGTGGTTTGAGCGTTACTGTGAGAGTGTTGCAGTGGGGGTTGGACCATCCCTGTAGGAGAAAAAGCTCTTTCCTTCTGCTTGAGAAGGAAAACATTCCTGTCGAAGATGGAAGTGAGGCAGGACTCGGGTTCCTCCTTGCTGAGTCCACTTCTGCACAAGGTGCTGAGCGTCACGGGAGGGGGGGGGCGGTGGCGCTGGGTTTCTCTGCTTGAGTGACAGTGAATGTCGGAAAGGATCTGAAGACCCCATGGTTGCCGTTCGGTCAGGACGCAGCTGGTTTGGAAGGCATGCGATGCCCACACTTAACACAAAGCGTCTTACGAGGAGAGGTTTCTGTCACTTCTCTGCATATGTTTTGTGTCTGTCATAACTGTGACCTGACTCTTCATTTTGGGTTTTGTTTTGCTTTCTTTTGAACCTGTAGATTATGAAAAAATATTCTCTCTCCTCGAAGAAGTGCAAGGCCCTGCGGAAGTTCAAAAATATTTCATTGAATTTGCTATCAAAGAGGCGGCAAGGTTTGTATCGGGAGGGTGCGTCGAAAGTCAAGGCAGGGTGTGTGATCAGCCTGCGTGTTGCAATCCAGCACACGCTGTGCGGGTATTTGAAAAAAGCCATAGTGACCCCGAACTTTTTGCTTCCTTTTGCATTTCACAAGCCACTTCACCCGGCAGCTGTGTTTTAATCCTTTTCTGACATACCAGAGGCCAGCCTGGTTAAGGTTTTGATATCGCTGAATGAAGTCTTTAAATGCTAGCAAAATGAAACAGGCCAGTTCTTCTTAACATTTAGGGAGGGTCTGATAACATGGTTGGGTTGGTGTATCTGTTTAAAGGTCACGGTGTGTTTTCAGAGGGAGAAGAGCTGCGGAGGAACAAATGCCAAGACCCCCCCACACTGAATTGCTTCCCCTTCCCCTCTCTTTCCCAGGTTTAAAAAACGGGTCTTAATTCAGCACTTAGAGAGAATACTAGAGGAAATAGAGTTCAGAAGCCTCCCCAACAGAGTTAATCATGTCAACAGTAGATAATAGTGTCCCAGCACGACAGTCGCATGACGGGCCAGGGAGAACGTGTTGGCGGTGTCGCAGAGGAGCGGAAGAGGATGTGGCAGCCGTGACCTCGGCCACCCTGGCAGCCAGGCCGCTTTTCCGCGGGCGTCTACAAAGAAGGGCGGCGTTTTTACGTTTGCGAGAGGCCTCTTTCGCCGCAAACGAGGGGGGGGCCTGTGACCCTGATGGATTTGCCGCAGACGGCGTGGCTTCCTCCCTCCCACCCACCCACGACGGAGGGCCTGATCTGCTCAGTGGGCTGAAGACAGACCTACCCAGGGCTGCCCTCTCCTGCAGGTGATGAGAATTTAACTCATTTGAACCTTTGTTCTAAGACACTTTAAAACACACACACACACACACAGACGCTGCTTTACACGGTGGGTCGAAATCTTTAAAAAACAGAATGGCGTACGCTTTTATCTGCACTTGTGTTGGAGAGAGATTTTTGTCCTTTAAAAAAAAAAGAGAGAGAGAGAGAGGAGCGAAGGAGAGCGTTCTCTCTGTGGTGGTCGTAGTGCATGTTGTCGCTACAGACGCCCGAGGTGGAAGTTCCCAGGAACTAACTACTAGCCGACTCGGGCCAGACACACACACACACGTTTTCAGGGTAAATTGAAATTGAGAGTTAACAGGAGCTGCTGGGTTGAGGAAAGCTGTCAAGGAACCCCCCCGTGACTGTTGCCGGTGGTCGCCACTAAGCAACCCTACCTCAGCCTCTCTTCTCTTTTGTCTGCAGACATTATGAAAGCGCACCCTGAAGCTTTCCAGGTCCAAGACTTCAGTTCCTCTTTCATCTTGTGAGGAGGACGGAGACTCTTCACGTGGACTTGGCTTTGGAAGCGCTTAAAGGAAACTTTGGGTTAATTTTTTTAAAAAAAAAAATTAAAATAACCACAGACACAGAACCCACACACAGAGAGACAAAAAACCCCACACCCCACATTCTTCCCCTCTCAATCTATATGTATATCTATATATTTTACTTTTTAAATATTCATATGAGAAGAGATTATTTTGGACCGTGTTGTTTACCAGATCCTTAATTTGATATATCCGATGGCGTGTGGGCGGGTGCGTGGATGCGGATGTACCCCTCCCACACCCTTATATATAAGAAGATTTTTGGAGTACTTGTATATAAGAATAAAAAAAACATTTTATGATTTTTCTAACCAGTGCACGATCTGAGTGGAGTGCTGCTGAAGTCAGTTTGGTCACGCTATTTCCAGCTATCGAAACGCATAATCAAAAGACACCCCCCCCAAACAACAACCCTTAGGGGGTTCACTAGCATTGCCTCTTTCCCCCTCTCTTCAAAAGAAGCAGCGTTGAAAGGTTGGCTTGACTCTTTAGGGTCATCAAGGGCTGTTTCGTCATTTTTCCCCTTGCCGTTAGGAGCCGATTCGCAGGTAGTGGTCCTCTTCACACACACACACCCAAATGCTCTCGCTTGTCTCTTCCTCGGACTGCACAATATGCTGTTCCATTATCCCTTGATCCTCCCTCCTCTGGTTCTCCAGGAGGAGCGCAACCGCTCTTTTACCTCCTTACTTTAGGATTGGGGTGTGCCAACCACCTAAGGCTCAATCTCCGTTTGGGGGTTGAAGCCTCCCTGTTGTTTTGATGCAGCTCAAGAGCTTGGGGCTCTTCAACCACGTTGGCAGCTGGTTTCAATGCTTGTTTACCTGACGGTTTGTCTCGCTCTTGCCGACGGACCTTTTTCTGCCCTGTGTCTCCCTTTGGTACAGCAAAGCTGAGCGGGTTAAAAAGAGAAAGTAGATTTCCCAGGCTGGTCCTGGCAGAGAAGCCCTTCCCGGGGCAGGGCCTGTTCTCTTAAGCTGGCGGCCAAGGAAAATAAGCGCGTGACCGTGAAAGACCTGTGAACAGTTTGTTCTGGCTTTGAGTGGTGCAGTTCTCTTCATTGCACCCCTTCCTTTGAGGTGGAGTTTTAGAACAGTGGCATGGAGCTGGTTTAGCACAACGGAGAAGAGTTGGTGTTTCTGCCGTTGCATGCAGTCATGTTTTAGTTGGTCAGCTACAGCCGTAAAACTCCCATGGATGGCTAGCTTTCTTGGAGAAGGTCACAGTGCGGAAAGAACCCGGGGGTTCTGGGCCGAGCGGTTCTAACTTGGCTGGTCTGTTTTAGAGAGTGTGGAACGGTTGCCGTGTGATGAAGAGGGGAGCCCCAGAGGGAAAGCAGTAGCCAGGGAGATCCCCCAAATGCTTGGCTTGGATGTTACACCAATCTGCGCATTTCCGTTACCATTAAGATCATCCCAGAGTAGCTGTGAGGCTTAATTGATCCTTCCGTTGGGACAGGAATAGGGACTAGTTGTGGGAATGGAACCAGAAGGGGCACAAAGAGAGAGAGTGAACCAAACGCATAGGGTTCCTGCAGAATGAGATCTTAGAATAAACTCTTAGGTTTTCCTGATTACCTTTCTTCTTGCAGAGGAATGGCTATTACAGACGGTGGGCTTCCCCTCAACCTCCGGAGCGCGACAGGGCCCACTCTAGCTCTGCAAGGGTGTGCATAAGCTGATATTTTTTTTTAAAAAATTACCCTGATGAAAGTCCATTTCAGCTTCCTGTCTCTACCCACCTGAAGGTTTAGAACCATCCACAAACTGAAAATAGTGGTTTAAAGTCAGGTTTCTGCCCGCCTCAAATTGGGCATAAGAATTTCCCTCTAGGCAAAGAAGAAGCACCAACAGTACCCAGTGGGTTCTAAAAATAAAACTTCTTAATTACTGTGGTTCTTCCCTTGTTTTCCTACGCTGAAGGTGACGTCTTCAGCTGTTGTGCTTTGCCCTCAGCATCTCCCCAGAGAGAAATACAGATTAAGCTTATGATTACAGAGAGAGGGTGAAGACCTGTAATTAAGGGCCCGACACATGGCCAGGATTGTATTTTATTTTTCACCCCAGGTAGACACTTGAGGAACAGCAGTGCACGGAAACGTCTTATCTGGTCCATGTTTCCGGGTGGGGGTGGCACCTTTTACTGACGGAAATATTTTCCCGTTTGATCAGATCCATAGGTCTCCCGAAGTTGATGGCTGTCATTATAAGAGAAATATGTGGTTTTGTTTTAAATTTTTAAAAATCCGGCGAAACCATACAGTGCGCTGGGTCTTGTGCACAAAGTGTCAAAGAGAGCGGGGTGCCTGGGTCAAAAGCCTTCAAAATTTGGGCATCCCTTCATGAAGTAGGTGGGTGATGCAAGTCATCTTCTCTTCCTCTTATCCAACCTTATGCCCTAGGTCTTGTAATCAAAGGCTATCAAGTTGTGAAGAGAGACAATAGCAAACTAATTGGTTAGTGAGCCTCAATTAGAACCCTGTTCTGTGTGGATTAGTTCCCTCGTGTTCCTAACATTTCCATTACTTAACGTCCCTCTCCTCTAGTTGGTTACCCTGTACTTTTAACATGCCATTCCAGCTTTGGATGCCCAACTTGTACAAATAGATATTAAAAAAAAACATGGCAACAGCCAGAATCCCAAAGCTGTGAACTTCCCTTAGAAGTATTGTTGCTGCGTGCATGCCTCCGTTCCTACGATTTGGAGTTCAGGAAAGAGCAGTTTTGCCATTGCAACCATGAGGCAGTAAATGGGTTCTCCTGCAATCTGGTTGCTGTTTCCGAGGCCAAGCAGGCATTCTGTCTTGCATAGCTATTGACCATGGTACACGGGTACCAGTTGTTATTATACCCATACTTTACTACCATGTCGTAAAGGAAAACCAGGAGCTGGAACATCTGCCACCCTCTCTGTTTTATCAAGCAGTTGTGTGTAGTTCCTCAGAGCACCTTGCCTTCCAAATAACTATAAAGCATCCCTCTGGTTAGTCAGGTTCTGCCAGATGATCCTCCTAATCACTGCCATTTGTTTTACAGGTCTTTGTTCCATCAAATAGGCCACTGGCTGCCTTCCCAAGCAAGCCAGGGAAACCTTCTGAGTTATACTGCTTTGTGTTGTAGCAGGAATACTGTACAGTGGTGTCTCGCTTGACGATAATCCGTTCCAGCAAAATCGCTGTAGAATGAAATCGTCAAACGAAAGTAAAAAGCCCATTGAAATGCAATGAAAACTGCTCAATGCGTTCCAATGGGTGAAATACCTCATTGTAAAGCGAAGATCCTCCATAGGGCGGCCATTTCCCATGCCTGTAAAGGGAGGAAACCCAGGGGGGAGCCATTTTGAAATGGCGGCCGGCCATTTTGAAACCCAACAATCAACTGTTTTGATCGTCAAGCGAAAAATCGGTTCCCGAAGCAGGGAACCGATCATCGTCAAGTGGATTTTCCCCATCTAAACACCGTTTTTGCGGTTGCAAAATGCTCATCGTGACAAGTATGAATGGTTGGCAGGCCTGCTGTGATCTAAGTGCAGTTAAATGACCTGCAGGAGTCCTTTATGATGATGGAAGGGCACCCCCTGGCAAAGGACAACGGGTCCGATCCTGTTTGCTAAGGAGAACAATGCTTGTTTCCTCAATAGCCTCAAGTCTCTGGGTAACTGCTCTACAGGCTTGTTGCTGTCGGAGCATTAGAATAGCAAAGACCTAGTTTTAGGTTGGATCAGAGAGAGCCACTTGCTGGTGGAGGATGGTGTACGTAACCAAGGTGCTCAGAGTTAAGTAGTACAGCAGCAACCAGAATTTCAGGATGGTCTGGATCCATGCTCCGGTTTCCACTCTGTCAACTCCAGCTTCTTAGTATAGAGCTGTCTATCCTATGCAATTAGGAACACCCAGGATATGACGCAGAAAGGTGATTCATACATTCAGAGATAACTGCTTTGTAGGCTTGCAGTCTGAAATATAGTCCACACAGCTGTTTACTTCACATGTGGTTGAGAGCAGTGCGCGCTTGCATGAGTCGCCTCCATGGGAGTGTCTATCTGTTATAATTACTACTGCTTCACAATTACTCTTCTCAGTGTAAAGGGAGCCGCTAGCATCCAGCAATTCATTCAGGAGCAACACTTGAGGTTATTTCACTCCTTTAGTTTTAGAAAATAATGTGGACTTTTAAAAACCAGGTCTACACCTGGTCCTTTAGAAATAACTCCAGAACCACACATGTTGTAATCAGTTCTTTACTGGATATTGCAAGATGCAAACGGGAGGAAAAAATTGCATACCTGTTAAATGATCATTGATGCAGAAGGGTAAGGCCGCTACTTGCAAATTTAAATGACCCAAAAGTGATTTAGTGGGCTTGAACAGTACATACACGGGGAAGGATGATGAAAAACCTCAGGGGTCTAGCCAAAGACTCCACTTTAGCAAATGTACCTGCTACCATGAGGCCTTTTTACTAACCCGGAGCAGCGTTTTAGAAAGCTCAAACAATCATTTGACAAGCAACTAGGCTCAGCTTGAGATGACAGCTTTGCAAAGCGGTAGGAAAAAGAGCCACTTGGCACGTCAGAACTCGTACTTCCTCACAGCCCCTTTTCGTCACAAATCACTTGCACTGCTCCAACGTTTGGGTGTCCTGAAGAAAATAGGTGGTTTTATTCCATCCTCAAATTTTCAGTGCAAGAGCTACATCAACCTACTAGTTGGAATCCTGAACACATCTGCTAGCATCTAGTGTTCCATTGACAATTGGGACCCTCTCCCCCCCCCCAATAAACACATTCAGGATTGGGCTGCAGACTGATTGGGCCACAGAGTCCTCTTTTCCCTGCAGCAATTTTGTGTACTTGTCTGTCGGGTTCCTGCACCAGCTAGGCAGGCCCAATTCATCTGCAATCAAAGAAACTGAAGGTTCCAGGTCACTGGTCATGAGTCCACCACACAAGGAGGCAGGGAGATGGGTTCATAGAAAGGTGGAAGCAGAATTGGAGAGCCCAGAGGCTGAAGGACATCAGCCAATCGGGACCTGTTTTTCAGCTTGAACTAGGGTCTTATTGCAGTCTATGGGAAGGAGAGAAGGATAAGGCTGGCACACTATTCCTAGCCTCTGACTTTTTACCATATTGCCAGTCTTTATTTGTACCAGAGAAGGAAAGGCTGGCAGGCAGGATTTCAGATGGAGGGAACACAATGCAAGATGAAAGGGTCTGATTTAATCAACTGAGACCGCTGTCAGGATAGTCTGCAGAAGGCCAAGTCTTTTTCATCACAACTAGTTTCAGAATTCCTCTCTTTAAGTCAGGGAACCTTCGTGCCGCTTTCCCAGCTATCGACCTCCAGTTGGGTTCGACTACTGCTCTTCTTATTCACAAGGGCATCACTGGAGTGACTGGGGACAAAGCCAACAGTCGTTCACTCCCTCTGGAAAGCACCTATTTGCCATGGTTTATGAACCCGTTGCCAGTCAGGGCAGCTAACCTGTAGCATTTTCCAGCCAGCAAAGAAATCTCCCTGTAGGCGGTTTGCACGCCTTGAACGCAAGACGGGGGCGTCCGTGTTGCTGCAGCCTTATTGCTAACAGACATCGCTTGACTTTTGTGCAAATTCAACTTGAGGTGGGGATAAAGGAAAGGGAAACCTGACCTCCACCATACATGCACCCCACATACTTCAAGGCAGATTAACTGGGGAAGAAATCTCTTGGCAAGCAGGTCACTGCAAAAAGAGGAACGTTAACAGAGCAGAAAAACAAGTTGAGCACGTTCAGTTGTCCAAATGGGAACGCAGCCATTCCTCAGTTCCTTTTTTCTACCTCGGCCACAAGAGTGCACACAAATAAATGAGGACAGCCCAATCATAAAGCACCCTTTAGAGCAGAAAACCAAGAACCCTGCATGTTAGAACGGAACACAAAACATTATCAGTAGGCAGAGACCCTTCCTTACAAGCCATTCAATCATACAGTAGCCCACCTCTAACCAGGACTAAAAGTTCATAAGCCAACGGCGCGTCTTGCGTTCACCACAGTAAGCACATTGCTTCATACCGTGACTGCAATACGCAGCCAGTCCCGGCCACAATCCACAAAGGCTCACTGTGCAGGCAACGATCACAGGTTACAAGGGATGCGCGATGCAATAAAACCCGATGAGAAGACAGCCAACTTGATTCCATAAAACTCCCGGTGGCTCAGTAGATAACGCCATCACTGCATTTCTCTCCCCCCAAAAAAGTCCATCTTCTTTTAGCACCTGCGAGTATGTCAGGGTGTCTCAAGGCTAACCACCCATGGGAAAAAGGAACATTTCGGTCCTCGGCAAAGTTTGGGGTTGAGCTCCCAACCCAAAACAGTCGGTTGCAATGGCTCAGTCCTTTCCCGTGAAGGTCTTATCATGCAGTGGCTGCGTTACTTCAGCTCCGAGTGCCAAAGATATGACAATATCACAATCATCATCTTTTCTAAAAGGAGACAGGCGGACAGAGAGCAACCCCCTGGCCCCTTTCTCAACATTCAGCAACAACATATACAAGACAATAATTCTCCTCTGTGCTTCTCTGTTGCATTTAAAACCATCCTCCAGTTGTTGTTTTTTTTTTTTTGTAATACAGGATTTGTTTTAAGGGAATCAACCGCAGGAGTGTTTTAATGGATGAAAGGTAAAATGCATATTTCACAGCATAATTCTAGCAGTAACATACACTGTTTGCCAATTCACAATTCAGTCATTGTCATTAACAGTGTTCAGAGAAGTTCTTTTTAATTTGTTTTAATATATTTATATAATATATATATATTTTATAAAGTCTGGAAGATCAATATAAATACTGTTCCAGAAAATAACAAAAAAAAGTGTTTACATCCCCAACTCCAATGTTACAGCTCAGTGTCCTGTTCTATTTTTAGTATCATCTGTAAAAATCTTTTTTTAACGGCGGAGAGGTTCAAGTTTTCGAAACTTCAGTGATGCGCTGGACGACAAAACATCCTGGTTGGAGGATGAATGGACAGCATCTGGGGGCTGGAACAAGACTCTGCCCCGGTGATTAAATACATAAAAAGATGGGTGGTTCCTTAATGTGTCAAACGTCCTTAAACAAAAGAGAAAGAGGGGAATTAACACTGAAAGAGAACAGCTAAATGACAAAATGGCTTCATTCTAGCCACTTCACTATGGTAAAGTGCTATGATCTGGGAGGCATGGATAGATTCCAGGCTTATGGGATGCAATAAAAAAAAACCCACCTAATTTTGCCTACAGGTCTCGATTTATCTTCTGCCCATCTCTGCCTGAACCTATATGATTTACAAAAGTTCAGGGGATCTAACACAAATTAAATCTCAAGTCTACCTCTTCTCTTTAAACAGGAGCTCTTTGGTAGCAGCAAAAAGAAAGGGGATTGTTTAGGCATCTGGCTTATGGGGCCAGAGGTTGGGAGTTGAACTCCCTCCTTGTGAGGGGCTGGACTTGATGACCTCTAGAGCCCCTTCCAGCTCTGCGGTTCTAAGATTAAGAGTATGCGCACACACAGGGAAATGGTAGTTCGAGGCCAAATACAGAGAGAAAACTGATCTAGTTTTTTCCCCACCAACACCTGGTGGCACAGTGGAAGAGAAGACCACAGTAGCTTTACTCTTTCCTAAGCAAGCCTGCTTTTGATGCCGGCATGTGTGTGAGAGCAGCCGTTACGCTGGAGATGATGAAACATCCATTTCTCCAGCACCCTGCTTCCCACCACAGCCAACCAAAGAAGCAGGGAACGGAGAGGTTGCTAGCAAAAAGGCATTCGGAGGTATCATTTGCTCGGATCCCAGAGGTTTAGGATAGCCCCCGCCCCAAATTGTGATTAGGGCACAATGTCAGACCCATTCTGGGACAAGAACTTGGAATGGTTTCTTGTAACTTTTTTTGTGTACAAGGGGAAAGTCAGTAGGCTACCCTTTTTTTTATCCCGACAGGGCTGTGTTACAACATATAGGAGCTGCCGAATATCCCTGTATTTGTAGAAAAGGGAGAGCTTCCTGCTCCATTTATGAGGCTACTGGCACAAAAGGTGTGTGTGTGGGGGAAGAGTAAAAATAAAGTCACAAGAAAAAACAGGACTAGAATAAGAAAACATACTTATTTTTTAGCTCTGAAGTTGCATCCATGTCTTTGAATTCTCCCGCAATGTGTACTATCCCATAGCAGGTAACTGCAAAGGCCAATAGTGTTTGAAGAACTATCTATAACAGATTAAAGAGAAAAACAGCAGTTGAGAATCAAGTAAAGCTTTTCTCATTGGGCCTTCGATGCCATGTCCACTCTGCCTGTCAAGAAGGCAACTACCAGGGCTTCAAAGATAAGGAATGTAACAGACCAAGTCCACCTAGGCTTAGACATGAACTCCTTTGGGCACAGTTACAAACTGGTGCATTATGATTTGCACAGTGACAGACAGAGCACTCCTGCCCAAGCAAATGCCAGCAAGAGAAGGCTGCTTCCTCGGTGGGGAAGAAAAGGAGAGCATTTCTGACAGGTATCTGGGAAACGGCTGCAGAGATGCTTCTAAGGGTAGAAAGATACCAAATTCACAACATTTTAATCTCAGACCCAATGCAATGGCTATATCCTTAAGGCTGGCTGAACAGTCAGTTGAGAGACCTTAAAGAGGGAGCTGTTCAAATTCGAACAGCAGAATCCGTGTGACGAGAACAAAGGACCAGGATGGCGGGATCAAGCAGTACAGAACATAAACCAGTCGAAACAACCCATTTGTCCATGAATTCCAACAGACTTTACTGAAGCTAACTGACTTTAAACAAAAATATGTTGTGGATCACAGGTGGCCCCGCGGTTTCATCAGAAGAAAAAAACAAACACTCAACTTACATCTATTGGCAAAGTTTCATCTTCCTTTTCTGTTAATCTCATATAGGAACGATCTGTAAAACAAAGACAGTTCAATACATGAACCTGGTTTCCTTTATATCCAGAAAGGGGTCCCAGTGATACGCTTTGCAATCCATTCCCCCACAGGTGAAGGCCCAGTCACTGCCTGCATTTCCTGAGAGCTTTTCACGACAGTTTTAGAGCGCCTCTCATTGTTTAATGCCTGATTGGAGGTGCTAAAGTGTTCAAATCATGTGCATAATGCTCAGTGAGAGAAATGAGGCTGGCAGGTATGACTGGATAATAAAAGCAAATCACTGCTAGTTCTCTAAATTCCAAGGCCGTATATTTATTTAGCTTGTTACCACTAGAGGCAATTATACAGTCCTTTTACTGCACTGCATATAATGAACACATCTGCCTTACTTCTCACAATCGGTAATCAGAAGTCGACACGCTGTGTAAAAGCCTCTGTTCAAAGATGTACAAGAAAACAACAGCACCGGGGAAGAAAAAGATAGGAACGGCTGCTAGCCACTGAGCCACCCCTAAACAAACTGACATTTTCCAAACTGGCTCCCTCATACACAAACCACTGAAACTGAAGCATAATCACTCTTGTGATTTTGTAGTGCTATTCCAAGGTTCACCTGAAACGGCTACTATTATGGACGGAAACGTAACTGCTATATCAGTAGCAGTAAAAGTCACAGGCAAGATGCATGTTAAAAATAGTGAGATCAGGTTGACAACCTATTGCTAATTCAATAATTTAGTACCTACCAAATGACAGTCCCTGCTCATAGATTATTATCTACATTAAAGAATGAGGACATGGGTGAAGGCATTAATTCATATCAGCTGCCTTTGATCCAGATATTTTATGTCATTCTGTGGGGAACCATCAGCCACTCACTTCTAAGCTCAAAGATGACACCTGAATCTGAGGACAGGGTTGATACCTTCCTGCCCACAACAATCCAGCCCTGATACAATGCATCCCAGGAAACACCTGTACAGTAGGATCATTAACCCACTCATACTGAAGATCAACACATTTATACAGTCCTGCAGGCTTGTTACTACAAACATACCAACTCTTCCAAATGCTGTATTTATCTTTTCAGGACAGACCTCCTTCTCCTGCTGCCTCTTGCGTTTTTAAAAAAGCTGCCTCTTCACCACCAAAGCTTTTGCAGCAACGAAGCTGCAGCCTTGTGCATGCTGACTAGAGTCCCCGAGGAACCGGAGCAAACTTGGGACTGTGCTGCTAGGATGCAAAGGCTCTGCCGGAGGCTTACGCAGGAGTTGGCCCTGTTGAATACGGCTGGCCTTTCATGCCCATTAAAAATAGGCTGAGATCACTTCAGGCAGGGAAACTGCAGTCCCCTCTTCACTTGTCAAGGGCAGACTCCTCCAGAGGGGAGAACCTGCCGCCGACCCTGATCCGGACCACCGGGAATGGTAACCTATGTCGGCCAAGGCGGATGGGAAGGGTCCACAGCGTAGACCACCGGGATGAAGGCAAAGCCACACCTTCAAAGGCCAGGGATGGGGACTCAAAGTCCAGGGACATGCTGTCAAGTCAGACTTAAGTCCCGCCAGTGACTCAACTTGGGTTTCTCCCCCGCCCCCCGCCCAATGTCTCAGCTCCAGCCTCTCCTTTCCTTTTTTTTCTGGGGAGGGGGGGTTTGGAAAGCTTGTTTATTAATAGGGCCTCTGCCCCAAAGACTGGCCAACCTCCCCGCCAGCAGCCTGGCTCTGCTCTCAGGTCCTCCAAGAGAGCAAGGCCTCTGGGGCCAGGATCCGGCAAGGCAGCCCCCCCGCTCCATGCCGAAGCCTAGCTTGGCCCTCAGAGGCTCCGGCTGCCCTCCCACCCAGAGACGGCGGTCTCCCGAGGCC